AGACAAGAGGAAGATGAAAGTGTGCATTTAAACACACAATTGAGCAAATTGGAGAATGACAATGGATCGTTAAGACTACTGTGCGTTTAAGAAATGCTTATAGCAGTGTCAAAAATATTACACACCTTGGCCGGAAGCCACATGTAAAGCAAAATGTATTTTTCCTGTAGCCTACTCACTATATCAAAATATGGATCTATATTATATTCCCTCCCAATCCATCTTAATAAAATTTCTTGCGAATTCTGTATTCATCGAAAGTATAAACTCTTGTAACTTTTATGGCCCACTTCTCGTACAGATAATATACAAAGTAAAGCACAGGTAAGTTCAATCCAGTTGTATGTTATGACACGGTTGATTTATATTTACTTAAGTCTTACCTGTGCCAAATTTGCTCTACACTGTTATTGTTTGCGTGGTCAATTACCCTAAGAGATAAATTTTGAGTACGAGATGAATTGTGTTTTGTAGCCCATGTGATGAGAATGATAGGTGAATATAATATAAATATAGCTTATCTGATGCTGTCTATGTGATTGATCATTTTTATCATGACGTAGCCCGCAGGAGTAATAATACTAATCACTAAAGTAACACGACATTCAGTAAGCCTGATTTTCATGTTATATTTAAACCTATTTGTCTTTTTTGATGTTATATCGATTTACTGTCTTGTTACATAGATTGGATGGCGAACCATTTCTAAAGGATAACATTCCACATTAGATAATGGATCGGTTAAGCTATTCAAGGCACCCATCATTTCAGGACGCAATAAAACTTTAGCATTGTTCTTAATCGCTGAATTAGAGTCAATAATATCCTTAAATTTAGTTTGGCGGTTACACTGTATTCTCTCTGGCACGTACATCTTGATGACTACAATTAACTGCCCAATTAAGTTTTTTTTACATTATAAAATAATACCTAAATGAAATAATAATTATGTTTGGACGGTGTGATTTAAAAAAAATGCTGAATTACTTATACGAATCGGCTGCAGTTTTAAGCCAGTAAACCGCGTGTACAAGTGTCAGTATATAATTACTGTATTAGGTAGATCTAATAAGAAATATAACAGATAAATAAAGAAAAAAAAATCATCTAGTCCAAAGTGCCAGTAACCCAGTAAAACCGTGTTACCGGTCTGCAGTACAATATCATACGTTTCTGAAAATCTCCATTTTGACATTAGTGAATCTTTCACGCAATTTAGTAGTTCATCCTCCTGGGATGCAAAAAATGCTAAAAGCGGTGACCAAGGGTAATTTCGCATTACGCACACACTACGTAAATCCCTCGCTTTATTCAAATTAAAATGAATCATGAACTAGCATCTCAACGCACGACATATCTAATGTCATGGAAAGAAGAGCACTCTTATCTATAAAAAAATATCTTCGTGTAGGCCTACAATAGTTTAAAATTGCCAATTTCTTGATATTAGAAGGTCTACAGGCCTACAATATATGGCATATGCAAAGTATTTACTCGTGGTTTTATGGGGTTATGATGATTTTTAAGAAGATAAATCAATAATCTCAAATATGTTTATTGAAAAATGTTATAGGCCTATTTGAAATTAAATTTTAATATCATAAATTTATTATTATTTCTTATAAGGCTTTCGTTAATAACACAGCGTAAACCAGAGAGGTTTTATGTGGGGGCCAAGAGTATTTTATATTGGGGAAAATCATTTTAATTTAGTAAAATAGATAGGCATTATCGAATAAGGAGTGTGACACTTTGGCATTTTCAAAGTATTATTGAAAGAGTCCGTGAGGCTGACATTTCAAATTTAGGCATCGGAATATTGGCTATTTGTGGATTAGTTTAAAAGTTGTTAAATGCTTTTAAAATTCGACAATAATTTACAGTCTAGATTAGGCCAGAATATCACATATGTTGGTAACAATTATCAATAGTTTCTGTTATCCAAAAAATCATAAAACTACGAAATTCAAGCGATTTAGTTTATCGATACGCATTATTTCCATTGAAGCCTGCGAGTAAATCAAATGCTAAGGTCACGAAAGCAACATGCAAGTTTGAATGAAATTTTCAACATATTCTATTTACGTTATCTATTTTTTTTAACTATTATAGCGAGAGCAGCCAACTCTTTATCTAATCGCCCATAATGCCTCTTGTGAAACATAGCCAGCCCTGGTTTCTTAGTCTATATAACTTATTGATTCGTCTAAATCGCTATCTAAAATGCCCCCCCCCCCCAAGCTTTAATTTTGTTAAATTATATTTATATTTACATAGTTATTAATATATAATTTACTAAATACCGTTAATAATTGGAGCTGCCCTTACAGAGATACCAAGTCACCGTAAACTATTGCTTACTAAATAATCTACCCGAATTTAATCCCCATCGGTTCGGCATTACAATACGGCTCATCGCAACCCTCAATTTGTATCCTTGACAACCAAATTTTGACATTGGAAATCGATTCGATTCCAACATACTGTAAAAGTGTTAAGATTTCCCCAGATAGACATAATAAAAAGTCGTATAAGTATTTTACTGTACGATAAAAATATCTTAACACGCACTCCAAAAACTAGTATGGTGTAGTCCCAATTGTTCCAGACAATGTTTATATTATGCACTGTCCTTTGTTTTATTGAATTGATTTAACAATTAAATTGGCTATGCATTAAAGAAAATATGCTAAGCCCATAAAACAAATCAACTGTAATTGACCATTTATTTTTAAAACCCAGCCGTGTCTGCAATCTGTCTGTCAGTGAACGTTAAACACATACTGAAATAACGCACATTTTAAATAGACACATTCTCACTAAGAAAGAGGCTGATTCGCTAACCAGGTCCCGGTTTCACATTTAGCATTCTCAGACTTAAGTTAAGAATTTACTCAACTTTCAATCTTTGATCCAGAAACAAAATTTGCACATAGTTTCTTATTGATGTATCTCGACATTGGCTGAAAAAGATTTTTCGGAATTTTAAGCACGATTGACTCTTGTTAGTGGTGCTGGATGGATGCCATGACAAGAAACAATGTTTAGCCAATATTATTAGACGAAAAACATCTTCTCCAGTACACGTCGGCTTGTACTAGAGCCATTGACAGTTGAAATTCGACGAACATTAAAGATACATTATGGAAAATCAGATAAAGAGCTGTCAGTTCTCACTGTAATAGTTAAAAACTAGATAATGTAAAGGGAATATGCTGAAAATTACAGTTAAATTGCTTCACTCTGAACCGAGATATTAGCGATTAGTTTTTCGGCCGCGCCTCGGTCATTATTACTAATGTCGGTATGATGAAAAACATAGTCTCAGTTATCCACTTCTTTATTTAATCATCAATGAGCGTTGAACAGCAGATCGGGTTCAAATCCAGTGACAATCCGACACATAAGATGACATCGGGAGTTGATTAAGGTCTTTTCATGTTAATAGATGTCTAATTAATAGTTTATATAACATTTCAAGTCTAAAGAAAGACCTGCAATAGGCAGATTTAGCTTTGCATAATGTATGTTTAATTAGTCTTAGACGCCGCCATCAGGGCACAATATCGTATGTAATCTGTCATCTGAACTGAACTATTCGCACGTACATACACCCTTGGCATCCTTGGGGTTGGGTGGCCGAATGGTTAACGCGTGTGCGTAAAATCGCGTGGCATATAGTTTCGATTCCCCGCTTGTGCGTGGCAAGGAGTAGGGTCACCTGTCCAACCTCGGGAGTTTTCTCCGGGTCTTCCGCCCCACCCCCACTGCTAATGACCCCTGCGCGCAAGTTTGTGCCGAGTGCGATACCCAATACAAAATAGGCTCAATAACAAACATTAAAAAATAGAAAGGGAAATAATATATAAATAAATAATGAATACAATACTAATCAAACGTTTATACCAGTCGTTCCCAATCGTATTTGAGCTATTGCCCCTTGAACCCCATGGTGCTCGACAAACGCACACACCCCGTGCTTGTCAAACGCGCACATTCCGTGCTTGTCAAACGCGCTCCACCCGTTCTAACCCCCATTCTAAATTATCCTTTGAAATTTTTTTTGCATATGTATAAATTAAATGAAATGGGGTTTAACGTCCTACTGCCCTGCTTTTAAAGAATAAACATTCGTTTCAACGAACAAAAAATAAAAAAATGTCACACGAATTTTTTTTTTTTTTGGGGGGGGGGATTAATCTGGACACCCAGGGCCATTTGGAACGCACGCTGCACACTACTATGAAATATCCCAGCAAGAACACGGAATAAACCAATACGTGGCTTAGTGCGGGTAGAATAGAGTTAAATCAACGTCAAATAGCCGGTATATCGATTTAAATCCGTTGTAAGCCCGTAAATAAAATGTGATTTTAATTATTCTGAGAGAGGATACTGGGCATTTCAATGTATTACCAATTACCCCATCCGTCAATGTTGCTATTTTACACTTGACATTATGTAATGTATCTACCTTTCACGAATGGTAAAGTTACAGGAGTTAATTTAGATTTGCCACAATATATCTGAACAGGAGTAAGGAATGTAGTTATCTATCATTGTTTGTCTAATAGATCGTTATAATCAAAACTTGAATTCCCCACATTAAAACAATAACTTTAAAATATGATACACCGGCGTTATAGACATTGATTTGATATATTGAAGAGTATGAATATTAGATAATAATTGTTAAAATACAATATACCAGACGTTACAGACATTGATTTAATACACTGATGATTACGTATAATATATAATATAAAATAATTGTTTTAGACCATTATAACTGAACATAATAATCAGTGTTTTTATCTATTAGATCAAAATAACTGTGAATAACTGTGAAACAACGTAGAACTAGAAGCACTGGCTCACAGGATGTAAATAATAGGAAAAACCGTTATATCTCGCAGGCTATTTATGATCGAGATATTTCATAGTTGTCTCTACACACCATGTCTTAAAATAACTATCTATTAGAAATACTAATTACTTACATTCAATATAATATACTATGACATCCTCTGCTTCACATCTTGCGTTATCATTATGGAATATCAAACATCGGGTTGGATTCAGACAGAGTTCATGTAAAATTTTCTACAACACTCAGCAATGGCTACTTGACTGTACTTTAAGCCTTCTATTACCAAGCGGTGCCAATCATTGGGTCGGTTTCCATGGTTACTCAGAATAGCATGTGTAGGATCGTATACTTTTCCCATTTGCTCTACAGGCTTTGGGAGATTAATGGTGCATTAAAGCGACTAAGATTGATTCCAAAATTTAATTTTGCATAAAGCCATAATGATTAGATAAAAATATGATTTGGCTTTAACTTATATTTGTATGTCTAGAATTATATCCATTAAATTCGTTATACCCCCTGCAGTTTTGGTTGGAAAAGTAAATTTTCAAACCATTGTTTCATATGAATAAATTTGCGCCAATCCATATCCTAAAATTAACTTTTAATTGTGAACAGATTTAACCACAGTTTGTCCCTGGCTCAGGGAGAAAGGCGCTAACTCACTAACCAGGGAATCCTGGGGGGGGGGGGGGGTTGCTCCCGTTATTGGTCGAAAAAGTTCCCAGAGATTTTCCAGCGTGTTTTCATCGTGGTACAGTACGGGGAGCATTGGCAAGGACAGTGTCTAGTCGTTCGGGTGGGACGAAAATGCGGGGTCCCGTGTACGGAAAAGAACCCTTGACACTTGAAATTCGTAATGAGATGGCCGTAGCGGCACTGTCCGACCAAAATATCCCTCATAGCATATTATATGGCGTAAGACTGACTTCATTAGCCCAGTTGGTACAGAAAAGTAGGACGTTAAACCCCCGTATCTCCGTTTGCCACTTTAAACTCACACGCATAATTTATTGCGCAATGGAGTGATTCGAGGTAATACTATGTAAACATGATTTATTCATAATAAAGCCACAGAAAACAATATAACAGTATACTTATTATACAGCAACAACAATATTCCTGCATTATAGATATGGTTCGCTGACGATCCAATTAAAATTCTAGATGATAGGTGTGTACTGTTAAATAGTGCTGTCTGACGGGTACATCGGTTTAATCGAACCTCGCAGTCTTCTGCACAAGGGAAGTATTAAAATTTCTGTAAATGTGTACCCTGAAGTGTTTTCATGTGAGCTTGTAATATCTCAAATTGACAATTGGGTTTAGCGTCTTTTAAACACACTGTAAGTCATTTCGATTGCAGGGGTGGGGTCGGGAAAGCGCAAGAAAACCCACGAGATAAGGCAGACAACCCTAGTCAATGACACAAACAAGCATGAGATCGAAACCAATCCACCTGCATCGATGACAAAACTTCAAATATTAAAACGCAATTGTCGGACCACTCGTGTCGATGTACTTCCATCCTTCTACAAAAGCAATAACAGTAAACGTTCTGTCTGCAGGGATATGACACTTGTGGAAGCATACGACGGCCCATATCGTCATATTCCCATTTGTAAAAGCTTACCCTGCCTCGTGCTCCACAGCCACTTACTAATAATTACTAGCTTAAAGGTGTCATCATATGTCTGGAGACGCGAAACAAGAAATCTTCAAACAGGTATCATCATGTATCTGATATCTCAGTTCCGGCGTGGTTCCCCCTTGTCAGTGATGCAGGACGGGGGGCCTGACAAGGACAGCTGTCTAGTCGTTCGGATGGTACGAAAAGCCGAGGTCCCGTGTACACATTGGCGTGCACGTAAAAGATCCCTTGACAGTTGGAATTCGATATAAGAGTAGGCCATAGTGCCGCTGTCCGGGCAAAAATTCCCTCATAGCACACTGTATAGCGTATGCCCGTCTTCATTAGCCCAGTTCGGAGCAGAACTGTAGAACGTTAAACCCCATTTCATTTCATTTCATTTCTGATATCTCAGATTACGTTTCTGATCATCATTTCAGAAATTTTAATGCGTCGCAAATTACAATATTGTGAAAGTTGAATCTCTAAAGGGAATATTAGTCCAAAAAATAGTTCAATTCCGTTCAATATTTACAAAGATATATTGAATCGACATAATATACATGATATAGCCAAACAGTCGGCGCCGCCTATATTTTTCTCGGAAGTCCGATTAAATCCAAGAGATTATCTAAATATTTCAATTTAATTTTCATAATTAAATGTTAAAATAATCAATTTGAGTTCATTTAAGCATAAATTAACCCGTGAAAAATACAGATATGTATTATTATCACCGCCATGATCTGTGTTTAATCTCGTGTAAAAATATATTTAAATTCTACACTAATTGACCTGGTGGCTCCGTCCGACGCGTTAAAAGTGCGCTATATAAATATTGTCACCATTATCATTATTAAATATTTGCTTCGATGATCAAACCGGGATAGTTATCTTACAATTCAATGACGCATAAATATTGAAATTAAGACAAACTATACGTATTCACGTTTATAACTACATTGTAGATGCCATTACATTCAATATAGTCTGAATGTAAAATCAATTTTCGCTATACAAATAGTCTTGATAAACCATTAACTCATTGACTTCGACCCCTTTTGTGCTTTCAGTTTACTCCATAGCGTCAAATCCGATTTGTCAGATATGCGTTTCAAATAAAAATTATTCAGTAGCGTCATATCAGATATTAAAAAGAATTATAAATTTTAACTTTTTGGGTCTACTTCTAGAAAGTTGGTAATGTCAAATGTATTATATATTGTAGATACAAGTAGGTTTGCTATGTCAAATCAGGTATATTACATGTAATTATGTTTACTAAAACATCAGGTAGTTGTGCCAGATACCACAACTGTTCTAATGACCACAAAATGCTGACATCATTTGCAATATTTTTAATAAATTCTACGCCTCCACCTACCAGTCTTTAATTTGTAGTGAGCATCCATACGGGGGTAAAAGTATCACAAATCTAACCTGAATTTGTCGGGCTTTACCCACGTCAGACCACGTCAGACCACGTCTTAACTCTTTTCACAGGTCTTATAATATGGTCACCATAAAGATGCATGCATTGAAAGCTTTATATTGCGAAATCTAACCCCAAACGAAGGGGCTTTCCCCAAGTCAGATCGCAATAAAATCTTTATGTTCATCATTCATATGACTGAAACTTATAAAACCATGTATGGGAAGTGTATTTTTGAAAATGTAATCAAATGTAATCCATCTGATATCAACATTAGTATTCGTTTCTATTTGCTCCAGAAAGAAACAATAGAACAAAGAAAGGAGACCACGTTTTATCTCTTGTGATAATGTTTGCCTTAATTTCTAAAATGAGTAAGATTCATGTACAACTGTTTTGTCGGGTCCATGCTATTACAACTCCGCCCCCTCAAAAAATGTGAGACATTTCTTTTATATCTAGTAACATTTGATGCTCCATGTATTCAAAATATTCATCAAACCCCAATGTGTTCAGTATAACCATATATACAGAATATATTATATCAAACTCAACGTTAGAAATCAACCATGTTCATTAATATAAATTTTACATGTGGGCCTTTAATGTCCATTATACTAACATGTCTGGTATGAGTGATTGTATTTATGACAGTCCCAATGTATTCAGTAATTATATATACAGAATGTATATTATACTAAAATTTGAAAATTAATATAATTTTTACATTGCTAATGGTTACCAATGTAGATATGAGACTTAAATTTCCACCATACTAACAGGGCGTCTGCGGTGAATGCTATTGTTATTCATATTTGAATACTTATTTACATGTAGATTTATGATTGATGAAATCAACAACTGACATGAACTCTCCATGTATAAACTGTCCATTACAAATACAATTGCAGTACCAATTATTTTTGTGAATCTGATGTTCTAATACCCTGCTTCTTGTATTTCACGTGTTATTAGATAACGATGCAATAATAGTTACTGGATAGAAGGTAAGCTCGGCTAACAATCGCAAAACAAATTATTTTAACATCAGATAAAAGGTTTTTAAATGTACACTACAAATGCAGTTAAAGGTGATATCTTCAGCCCGATTATTTATAAAGCTATCCGGTCTTTTAAGCAAATATTTTACACACGAAAGCATGTTAAGCTTATATTTTGATTGAGACCTGTTTAAAGACCTAACTAAGTCAACCAATATAATCGCTGATATCGCATGTATTTGAGTGTAAAGGGACGTACCTTAAATAAAACTAATTTATACAGCTCAGTAGCTTTTGCTCACACTTTTCCTTTATCTTTAGCGACAAACAAGATAGAGTACAGAAAACTGTTATCACATCCTCAGAGGAAGTTTGATCTAAGAATGATGAACCTTACAGAGAATAACCTGAAGGATCTGAAAGACAATGTGGATCAGTTATTTGTGGTTCTCATGGGAATAATTGTCATGCGTAAGTATAATTTTGTTTTATTTTAAGTATAAAGGGTAAATTCTTAGCTAAGAATAAATTAAAGGGCTGCACATTGGTATACAGCTGTTAGCTGTTAGTTTTACGTCCTACTGTTCTGCACCGACTGGAAGACGTGCATACGCCATGCAGTGTACTCTTATTTCGAATTCCAACGGTCAAGGGTTCTTTTACACGAGACCTCTGTTTTTCGTATCATCCAAACGACTATACGTTGTCCCTTGCCGGGCCCTTTGCCATATCCTACTGAGCACGACGCAGATCCCTATGAACTTTTTCTGTAAGATGTACACAGTGGAGATTGATGTAAATAGCTTAAATTGGTGCAAATGATCTCTAGTATTATGAGAGTCACGGATTCGTAGTGGAGTACTATTCAGGAGGCCTCTTGTTCGATCCAGGAAAGTTCGCCGGGATTTAACAGCCTAATTTCCACTTACCAGTTGTGCCAAGACTTGCCTTACAGGAAAAAGATTTTATAGTCTGTTGGATGCGACGATTCTGTTTTTACAAATGGCAGTACGTTAAAGATCCTGGAAGTATTATGTTAGTTTTTCACAATAATGATGTAGTGTATGGTAGTATTTAATTAGTATCGGGTGCTGGTATTATTGGGTAAATCGTCCTGTCCTAGTAAGGCATCATCCCAGGTTCAATCCCAGAGTTGGCTGATAAAGTACCGCGGGATTTCTAGCGTGGTTTCCCATTAGAGTATGCCGTAGTGCTGCTGTCTGGGCGACATTTACTCCACGGCACACTGCATTGCATATATGCCTGTATTTATTAGCCCCCAGTAGGTGCAGAAAAGCAGGACGTTAAACCCGATTTCATTTAATTTATTCATATATTTAGAAATGAAATAAAATGAAATGAAATCGGGTTTAGTATCCTATTGTTATCATATATTTATTCGATATAAATGAAATAATCCAGTTTTTAGTAGTGAGATATCACTTTTACATTAACCATGATCACTATATAAGTACATAAAAGGTTATTGACCTCACAAAATCTTGCTACGGATACAGATCGTAGAATTCACAGCATGTACACCGTATGTGTCTCTATATACCAGAATAGCAATAAAACTATCATGTGACTCATCCCTCTATTAATAATAATTAGAGCACTCCATGATATTAGAACATGATCATCGCATGTTGATGGGGTCCCTGGTGACACATTTCGTTCACCTTGGTTAAAAACTAAGTTTGTTAATTGCCAGGTAGCTAACGATAATATCCACTCGCCTTTATAATGTCCGTAAAGAGACGGGTACGGAAAGATACGGTAACCTTATTAAATGTGAGAGAGAGAGAGAGAGAGAGAGAGAGGGAGAGAGAGAGAGAGAGAGAGAAATGGGGTTTAACGTCCACTCGACACAAACTAGGTCATTTCGGGACTAACATATGGTTTAATTTTATTTCAAGAATTCGCTTGCGCGTAGGTGTCTTTAGCAGTGGGAGGAAACCGGAGGACCCGGAGAAAACCCACGAGGTTGGACAGGCGACCCTACTCCTTGCAACGTACAACCGGGGATTCGAAACCACGCCAGTCGACTCAATGACAGACTTTATGATACAGCGCGCGCACGCTAACCCCCCACCCCCCCACCCCCCCCACCCCCCCACCCCCTTTCTTGGTCATATGAACTATTAGTTAAAATTAAGCTTTCAGGTTTAGATGACCTATCTTAAAGTACATGACATACTGCTCGGCAAATATCAAATGCACAAGTCACAAGTGACAAGTACAAATAATTGGGTTTTTAATTCTTCTGGTTGACATTTCCGCTTTACGTTTCACTCTAATAAACATTATTTTTTACTCCCGCACCAACCCCACCCACCCCTTCTTCAAAGATGCAGTATGTAAGATTTAGATAAGAATGAATAGTTTGCTTGAAATGCCAAAGGCAGTTCTTAGAAAATGTATAAAATGGTTTGCTTAGTTTAATTTAGTTCGGATAATTTAATGCTTCTATATCATTTTTTTTCAGTAATGCAAGCTGGGTTTGCCTTTCTGGAAGCTGGTTCCGTTAGAAGTAAAAACACGACAAACATCTTAATCAAAAATCTACTAGATTCCTGTAAGTTACTAATTAACATTGAATTTATATACAATGGTTTTGAGTAAAACAGACTGCTCCAAGTACGATGTAATGTAAGCAAATACATCCCCTCCGAGAATCCATACACTGCATATTGTACTGCATATGAAAACAGGAATCTTGTTGATAGTAATATTACTATATTCTTTGGTAAACAAATAATCAACATACAGCACACCACGCAATTACATTTTACAATCTTGGCTTAATGCTTAATGGTAGCCAAGCTCCAATATGAATATGGGAATCGACATAAACGTGTGTCTCCAAATATCCAAATCCATGTAAATAATGTTTGTTCTTAGAGATGTGATCTAAGTTGATCTCCTAATGATAGGTTTGTAGAAAGTTTCCCCTGACTCACCCATTTGGGTCAATATATCAAAATGCATCACCTATAGGGCATCAATCCTATAAATCTACCGTCTGTACAAACAATATACCATGGTAACTAAAACGCTATAGCCCATAGATGTAAATTGCAATTCACAAGATCAATTTGAAGTGTAAAACAAAGAATATTGGAGACAGATGGTTAAGGAAATATATAAGACAACATAAAATAGATATAAATGGGGGACGGGGTGTGTGTGTGTGTGTGGGGGGGGGGGGGGGTAAGTTGGAAACATTTACTATTGGGTCGATATTCACCCGACTACAATATAACCTCGGCTATTAGCTTTCGCCACTGATCTATTTTCCACATAGTTACAACTTTCATGTAGATAACAAGTTTCAATATATAGGTTATAAAATATTTACAGAATATACACAGAGACTCTCGTCTTATTCAAAAGATATATATGAGTTTAAGAAAATCTCAGAAGCAGATTGTCTATAAAAATCGGCACTGGCTTATTGCTCTTTCTGATATTATGACTGTGACGGCATTGGATCTCAATACATAGGTTATACAATATTTACAGAATACACACATAGACCTATGCCTTGTTCAAAAGAAATATTGGAGTTTTAAGTATAAATCTCAGTAGGAAGCCGCATGCTTATTGAAAATGACATTGGCTCATTGCACTTTCTGATTAAGTGACCATAACGGCAATGGCTCATTGCATTTTCTGATTAAGTGACCATAACGACTTTGGCTCATTACAGATTCTGACATAGTGACTATAACGACATTGACTCATTGCACTTTTTGGTTGTGACTACAACGTGAATCGCCCTTTACAACCTATTTGGACAGTTAAACGATCAATACAAATCATCACATCGATTAATACAAAACCACCCACTCCTGGACCATTTTGTTCCCATTGTCAAATCTTTCATTTGATCAAAATCAAATTTAATGAGATTTCTCCCCAGATAATGTCCTATCTGACTACTATATTTTCAAATGCTTTTTACTTATATATAGTGATATCTCCAGCGGGTACGCTGTGTTAACAATTATTAGGGGGCACCTGACTGTGTAAATTTTCGCGGACCAATGATTATTCGTCCTTGATGGATGATCACCGACAAATAATTCTTGATATGTACAAGCCTTTGTGCTGATGATCTGGGATGACAGACCTTCTTATGATCTTATGCGATAAACCAATCGTGCGCCCCCCCCCCCCCAGCGCCACCCCGTCATGAATGAAAATTGCCAAATCCTCTTTTATTTGGTTGAAAATTGAATGTATCGAATTGATTTGTGATAGTAGCATCTATCCTTTTAGCTATGTGAACTCCTCAAAATGATAACCGATATCAGGTGTATCAGCAATGTATATCCATATAAACAAGTTACATGAGATACAACTGATATAACGCCGAACCTTCTGCAAACATAGAACTATCTATATCTCTGCCATTGAAAAAATTAGTGTACTATCTGTTATATGATTCTAATCCATTTTACATTAAATTTTTCATACACACAAATACTAGATAAACAGATCCAATTCCATTAAATGGCAGCGGAATAAACAAATCACAATATTTTCGATGTATACTAAAATGCTGGTCAACCTGCTGCGTGTTTATTTTCAAACGTAGTTAATTTATAGACAGATTGCGTTAGTTTCGTATGGACGCCCAACATAAACCAAATAAGGTACGAAAAAACGAGACCCCCCCCCCCCCGCTTTCTCTATTGAAATATTTATACTCGCTATATCTTCTTTAAAAATATTATTTTAATTACAAACAGTAATGTGCATGAGCACAAGGCCAAACACTGTGGATTGTCATATAGCCAATATAAACATATAAAGGGTCTTAAAGATGCATTATGTGCGATTTGGACAAAGAGCTAACCGTTCTTGCTATAAAGGTTCAAAAATAGATACTGAATAAAAAAGATGTTGAAAATTTCATTCAAATTACATGTACTTTATTCTGATTCTAGTTATTGTAGATGTTTGTAGATGTAGCGTAGGTTGTTTATTATCGTAGCAACGATACTTGACAATCGAGTGTAAGTTAAATTTTAAGATCTCATGATATTCAGATCCATTTAAATCTCGGACATCCGATGCACTAGCATGTTCCTGAAGCAACGACCGCGAGTTTTTCAACACCCGTATACAGTAGGGGCCAATCAGAGGTTGTGACACAAACACACTCAAATAAAACATGACGACTTCCACAGATACCATGACATTGAACGAAAAATGAAATTTGCAACTCGATTATCACAGGTAAACATTTTAGCTGGAAAGAGACTTGGTATTCGCGATGACCGGGGAATCAGATAGTCTGTTAAGCTGGGTCAGTACCCAATCGAAATTAGTGCCGAAATATGCGGGATATTACGTGAAGGGCTTGATGAGTTTAAGCTAGATAAAGATTCTATTGAAGATGAGTTTAAAGTAGCTAAGTCTCTAACTCAATATCATCCAAAATCTTCAACATTGAAAACACGATTTATTTGTCAAATTAAATCAACATTCATGTTGGTATCTTACTGGGAAAAGATGGGCTTTTGATATCCAATATTTAAGACAAAATAAACATTTTACCATTGGTACACGAATCGTGTACCATAATGCGCTTCAGCCCCAGTTGTATCAAGAGACTCGAGGGACGAGGCTAGACACATTGCACCAAATCAAACGGCGTATGTAGACTGGAATAACCAGTCGCTAGAAATTTGCACTCGCTTGAGACTGCTGGCTTATTTCGCCGAACATAACTGATTTTGAAATTGGAGTAAAAACGGAAACCATTGAATGTAAATCAGTTTATATACATTCATATTACAGTATTATATGCGTTGCGACCCACTTTTGTCAATTTCTAGGCCCCAAATGTTAGCGATTTATTTGTCAAATTAAATCAACATTCATGTTGGTATCTTACTGGAAAAAGATGGGCTTTTGATATCCAATATTTAAGACAAAATAAACATTTTACCATTGGTACACGAATCGTGTACCATAATGCGCTTCAGCCCCAGTTGTATCAAGAGACTCGAGGGACGAGGCTAGACACATTGCACCAAATCAAACGGCGTATGTAGACTGGAATAACCAGTCGCTAGAAATTTGCACTCGCTTGAGACTGCTGGCTTATTTCGCCGAACATAACTGATTTTGAAATTGGAGTAAAAACGGAAACCATTGAATGTAAATCAGTTTATATACATTCATATTACAGTATTATATGCGTTGCGACCCACTTTTGTCAATTTCTAGGCCCCAAATGTTAGCGATTTAGCTCCTTTAAGTTAGATCAAGCTTCTATTGAAGATGATGTACTAGAGGGGTGATTATACCCAATTCAAGTGGATAAATAGTAGTTTCTAGAACAATTGAAGTCAAAATAAAGACCTGCAATAGACAGATTTAGCTCTTGCATAATCCATATTTAATAAGAATATACCACATTTTTATTTCTCGAAGAATGATATAGATAATTTTGGTATAGTTTTCGAATTGAAATTACACAATTTTGACGGTGTAATATGATCGGATCTCCTGTTTTCAAAGTTTCCATTGCTACATTGCTATAACAAATTAATAAACACCACGCATTATAAGATTCTTGTTAAAAGTATATTAATCCAATACATGTTCGTGTAATCTATCAATAAAAGCCATTGTAAAATGTACTGAATTCCAGTTTTAAGAGCCTCTCTTATGTCTTTAAATAAATAATACCGACATACGTCCTGTGCGTTCATTTTTTTAAAAAATCTTTCTTACATGCGCCATTTTAGTAAATATATATTTGCCAAAATTAATTTATTTAAAATCATTGTTATAAGTTTTGGCCAATATAGGCGTTATCCGGTCCTTCCGTCGGTGCGTCCTTTCGTTAATAATTGACTTGTGAACGCGATAGAGGGTACAGTTTTTCTACGGATCTTATTCAAATTTAGTGTGGATCATTGTGGCCAAAACATTGTTCGGAAAACCACCATTGGTTTATAAAATGTACACGTAGTTAATCTTATAGCAGAAATTTTCTGTCAGTGGTTTAACATAGAGTTAATGACCAACCCTCGTTCTTATTGCAGTTGTAGCTGGTATAACATACTGGATCGTAGGATACACTGTAGCTTATGGGAAAGGCAATAGTTTTATTGGCTGGACGTACTGGGCATCATATGATCTTCCTCTCTCTTCCTTTGGTATTTACTTCTTCCAGTACACGTTTGCTGCCTCAGCTGCTACAATAGTTTCCGGTGCTTTGGCTGAAAGATGTGAATTCATGGCGTATATTGTCTACAGTATTGTAATAACAGGTAAACTTCCAAACTGTGAATTGTAATCAATTAATTCAATGGCATTTTAGTGATTTGAACATAAAACCTTTATTCGTTGGCTTTACTAATCTATATTTCGCTTTGGAAGATGATTTTGCTAATAACCAAAAATGAAAAACGCCGCGCGTATTTTAATAAATAAAATTTGATAAATCAGGTTTTATTTATCCTGTTGTATCGAGATGGGCATGGGATCCGGCTGGTTGGTTGTTCGTAGGAAGTGTCTACACTGGAGATAATGGGGAGGAATTTACAGTGAACTATCAGGTAGTTAAAAGAAGTACAGTTATGAAATAACATTATTCAATTTGAACACGTGTCGCATCCTGTAGGCTGTAGCCGTTTCCTTGAATAGTTTTAACTCTAAGTCGACATAGAAATTAAAATTTCTTGAAAAGAATTTTTGTTATTAATTAGATGAAATTAACTGTGGCCATCTTGGTCTTGATATCTGCTCGAATGGAACGGAAAATACAGTTCAATGTCTTCTGACATGATTTTAGAAAACAGGAGTCGGATCAAATTAAATTATTGTTGGGGTTTCTGAAATGTAGTTTATATACAATTAGTATTTTAAATCTATAAATCTCATTGATATTTGATCTTTTGGACTGAAAAGATAAAAACACCATGATTTGTCCAATGTAAATACAACGTTGTTTTCACATTTAATCCTCTAGGATTATGCTGGAAGTGGTGCTGTACATTCACTTGGTGGCGTAGCGGCTTTGGTTGGCGCGACACTACTAGGACCACGGAAAGGACGTTTTAGTAAACTTAATAAGATGGCGGCACCCTTGCGAGGACACTCAGTTCCTGTAGGTAGTATTACATAAATGTTTTATCTAACCGGGGTGGGGGTTGGATGGCCGAATGGTTAGCGCGTGTGCGTTGTATTATAAGGTCTATAATTGAGTCAACTGGCGGGGTTTCGTTTCCCCTGTTGCACGTGACAAGGAGTAGGGTCGTCTGTCTAGTCTAGTGTTTTTCCGGGCCCTCCTGTTTCTTCCCACTGCTAAAGACACATACGCGCAAGCGAATTATTGAAAAAAACAAAACAAAAACAAATGTTACTGTATATTAACGTCCTAGTTTTCTACACCTACTGGGTTAATATAGACGGGCGTGCAGCATACAGTATGCTATGAGAGATATTATACCTGGACAGCGGCGCTACTGCCTACTCTTATACCGAATTCCAACCGCCAAAGGTTCTTTTACGTGCACGGCAACGTGTGCACGGAACTTTGGGTTTTCGTCTCATCCTTGACACTATCCTTGGCAGGCCCTCCGCACTGCACCACTGAGAGGGAAACAACGCTGGAGAGTCCCGGGGAACTTTCTCGACCAACATCAGGATCAAACACCGGATCTCCTGGTTAGTGAGCCAACTGTTTCCTTAACGAGCCACCGCGGCGCCCTTCACTGTATAGGGCTTATCCCTAATTGACATAACACAGCAGATCAACCTAATATACTGTGTTATTTTGATCTTAATAGAAGCGTGTTAGATCACGAAATTAGATGCAGCTCAGATGAACATAGAGCAATTTCCAAGTATAGATCTCATCATGGTCAAGCGACATTTTGCAGCACCTGATACGTTTCAATTGATAAGTTCTCATAGTTGAAATTTTCAAAGTCAAAAGACAGAATTATGAAATATATGTTAAGATATATTATACAAATATCTAAATAGTGTAGTTACTGTTTTAATTTCTAGTTAGCAGCCTTCGGTGGATTTATTTTGTTGTTTGGTTTCTTGGCTTTTAATGGTGGGTCACAATTGAATTTAACTGGAGAGGGATCAGCCGTTGCTGTTTGTTTATCTGTTGTCAACACACTTATTTCCGGTTCAGTGTCGGCAATGGTATCTTTGTTAATGAATAGAATATTTGGAAATTCAAAATGGAGTTTACTGAAAACGCTGAATGGAGCTTTAACTGGCATGGTAAGATACGAAGTCAAGGCGTTTTTATTGGCTATAGAGAATATAGAAACCTCTTGGCCCAGTCAGTGTGTTCATAACAAACTCACTAGGCAAACCCATTAATTATCTTGGTTTTGGGACAAATAATATTAACCTAACCTGGTACGCATCTGACATCACAAGATAATGTACAACTATTCAGTTTTTTGTTCTGTTTTAATTTATAGGTAGCTACTTGTTCTGGCTGTAATGTTTACCGCCCATGGAGTTGTGCTATCCTTGGCGTTTTGGGTGCTGGAGCATTCAAACTTACTGCTTTCACACTTGAAAAACTTCACATCGACGACCCTCTAGATGTGGTCGGTGGTACGTAGTCGGGTAAAACATTAAGATAATTGGCATTCGATTTAAACAAATGAAGACATATCAAATAAATACATTCAGTATTTTTATACGCCCACATTTTCATGTGGACGTATATTGTCGTCGCCCCTGGCCGTCCGTCCGTCCGTCTACAATTGTTTGTGAACAGTCTACAGGTCACAATTTTTATCCGATTTCAATGAAACTTGTAATATAGGTTTATCACCCTAAGATCTCGGTTCCTTTCGATATTGGCATCTATCGGACCGTAACTTCATGGATTATGGTTCCTGATTGTACGAAAAATCACGTTTTTGGCTTGTGAACACTGTAGAGGTCACAATTTTTATCCGATTTTGTTGAATCTTGAAATGTAAGTTTATAACCCAAAGATCTCGGTTCCTTTCGATACTCGTGTATATCGGACCGTAACTTCATGAATTATGGCCCCTTATTGTATGACAAATCGCGTTTTTAGCTTGTGGACCCTATAGAGGTTATAATTTTTATCCGATTTAAAAAAAACGTTTTATTATATCACCGTTAAACCCTAAGGACGGTTGAGTTCGAATTTCGTGAAAATCGGCCCAAAACTGACAGACAAAATGGCCGCCGTTCGTTCTCAAATAGCGTAAAAATATGGTATATCAAGATGGTGGACTATATAGAGGTCACAATTTTTATCCGATTTTGTTGAAACTTGAAATGTAAGTTTATAACCCAAAGATCTCGGTTCCTTTCGATATTCGCGCATATCAGACTGTAACTTCCTGAATTATGGCCCCTGATTGTACGGAAAAATCACTTTCGTTTTAGCTTGTTTTCTATCCATCTCTCGAAAATGTGGGCGTGTCCTGCCTGGCAGCCGCTGGTTGAAATGGAGGGTCATCCACCTCACCTCATCTCAAATTGGGATTGGGAATAGAACAATGATTTCCTTCTGTTATGATAATTTTAAATATTTAAGGGGATCGGGGCACTGTTATCCCCATTATTTTTATTGCAATTTAAAATGGATTTGGATGAAGTGGTGGGAGGGAACAGTCAGGAAAAAAACTCAGATATTAACCTGTATTTACCATATCTATTTAGGTCGATTTCGGAGGACTTAGTTCAAATTAGGTAAACCCAACCAGTCACTCCCTTGGTTCTTGTAGAATATATTACATTAATAAATTAGAAACTATAATGTACATGAAAGTCGTTGGATTCCCAAAGAGAACACCTAATGAAATAGAGATATATTTTATTTTGACAGTACATTTAGGTGGTGGTATCGTAGGTGTTATTGCTCTAGCATTTTTAAAACCAGAAGAAGGTATAATATTTCAACAAAACAGAAAATCAGCTTTAGTAAGTATTGTTTTGACGCTAAGAAATTTAAGAAATCAAAATCACAATTTACTTTAAGTTATCGACACAAGTATCTCTTAAATGAAATGAAATGAAATGGGGTTTAACGTCCTACTGTTCTGCTCCTAAACTGGGCTAATGAAGACGGGCATACGCCATACAGTGTGCTATGCGGGAAATTGTGCTCGGGCAGCGGCGCTACGGCCTACTTTATATCGAATTCCAACTGCCAAGGGATCTTTTACGTGCACGCCAATATGTACACGTGACCTCGGTTTCTCGTCCCATCCGAACGACTAGACAGCTGTCTCCTGTATCACTGACCAGGGGAAACCATGGCGGAAAATCTGGATGAACCTTCTCGGCCAATGCAGGGATCGAACACCCGACCTCCAGGCTAGCGAGCCAGCATCTTACCCACTTAGCCACGTGATCCCAAGTATCTCTTAAAGCTTCATTAGAATTGGGTTGAAATTATATACGAATCAAATGGGGTTTGCAATAACTTAAACGTGAAACAGAAGTGAAAGTGAGCCTAGGAAGATAAACTTCGTTTCATTTCCCTACATGCAATAGAAATATTAACATCAATTAAAACCCAAGAAACCGGTATCGTCTTCAAGCACAAATCATAGTAAACTGAAAGGTAATATATATCGTGTTTTAGATATCGACCCTAGGGTATTTCTGATTGCAGACGCTTTCTATGATAATAATCATAATAAATATAATTAATTAAGGTTATCGATTACAGTGCAAAAGTATATGGGTCATTATAAAAATTGGTCGAAATTCATGTCTTTCTGCATTATTTTTAAAACTAACTGAAAAACACACAGTTTTAAGTATTCAGTAAATATATTATAATGCATTTGTTTAGATTAAAAAAAAAAAAAAAATAGATACATAATTAATATTCCCAAAATATTTGATTTAGTGCTCAAAAAATGACAAAATTTCATGTCCCTTAGCACTTTTTTTTTAAATTTACGTGTTTGTTTTTTGTCTATTTCAAATATTATTCATACAGTATTTTTACAAAAAACAACTCGAATGAATTGATATAAAAGTAAACTCTTTTTAAAACCTATTACGTATTACACAGTAATTATTCCATCTTGTACAATTATAGGGGTGGGGGTGGGTGGTTGGATTTAGTTACAGTAGGGACAATAATGGCTAGAAGTGATTTGTCAATGCCACTGTAGAACTCAAGAGTAAGCATTTTATCCGAATCGGTACTCCAACCTCGTGGGTTTTCTCTGTGTCCTCCGATTTCCTCCCACTGCTGAAGACCCCTACGCGCAAGCGAATTATTGAAATAAAATTGAATCATATGTTAGTCCTGAAATGATCTGGTTTGTGTCGAGTCGACGTTAAACCCATCTCTCTCTCTTTATGGGAATATGGTTGTCAATGCATTCTCGAATATGTTAGGCGTCAATTTATTTTCTATTTATGCTCAGTTTGGTAATGTGAATGTGAAAGCTGCACTTTATAGCAATAATAATGAACTACAAATCGAATGTGTGCATCAAGTTGGAAAGAAAACCAAAAGAAAAAAATTCAATTAATCATGTGCCTTCTACGCCCGTAGGTGTGTGTGTGTGTGGGGGGGGGGGGGGGGGGTGGCGAATGATTAGCGCGTGCGAAATGAGGGGGACGAAAAGAAATTGTTTGAAACTTTTTTTTTTTCTAAGTAAAACATCATGTGTAAAATTCTTGTGGTAAAAGGGGCTCTGAGAAGACGTTTTTTGAAAACATAATTTTGTCTGTGTCCAATATCTTGTGGAACTCATGTGGTAAAAAAACCCACCACAGAACAAAAACACTCTATCAAAAATCTGAATTATTTTCTATTCCCCGGTTGTACGTGACAAGGACTAGGGTCGCCTGTCCATCCTCGTGTGTTTTCTCCGGGTCCCCCGGCTTCCACCCACTGCTAAAGACCCCTACACCCAAGCGAATTATTGAAATAAAATTGAACCTTATGTTAGTCCAGAAATGACCTAGTTTGTGTCGAGTGGACGTTAAACCCCATTCCCCTCTCTCTACGCCCGTAAAAGCATTTCTATTACTCGGGTTCTACTACACTAGGTTGGTGCCGAAAGTAGGATATTAAACACCAATTCATGTTTCAATGGTGACTGTAAGCGTTTTAGTTCTATTGGATAATTAATATTGGAGAAGGATGTAGAGGTACAAATTCTTTTACCTCGTATTGCGCATGTAACCATATATAGGCATGACATTATCATATTTATCTCAAAATGACCGAAGTATTCCATTTGATGTTTACCGTGTACGTAGAAACATAATCCTTCTACATTAGTCCGGTGGCTGAAGGGGGGGGGGGGGTCGCCACCCGAGCTGTGAATTTATAAGACCAAGTTTTCCTAGACCAATTTTTTTGCGTAGATTCCGAATCTGGGTGGTGATCAGGCGTTTGAGGGGGCGTTTTCGAGATGGGGGGGGGGGGGGGCAATGTCCACAATTGGGGGAAAATGTGATTATGTTGACATAAATGGTGATGATGTTATATATAAATAAAACATACTAGTAGATTTCTAGGACTGTCCATCTCTAAAAAAGTGTATATGATGCCCTTTGATTTGTTGCGAGGTGGGGTGGGTGGTTGCAGGTGTGCTTGTGTGGAAGTGGGGGGGGGGGGGTACATTGGCGGGAAATGAATTCACGTTGATTTAAATGATGATTTTCTTAGAACATGATGAACCATTTCTACAAATATGTGTATAATATGTGTGTGTGTGTGGGGGGGGGGGGCGGGACGGGACGGGTGCTCGTGGTTGCTTACCAAAAGCTCGCATATGTCCTTTGGATATGCTTCAGATACCAGTTCACATTGTAAATCTTCATTCCAGCCATGTTATTTTTTTCGTTTTTTTTATACTTTCGATGGCATACATTACATGAAGATCTGACCGGTTGTAGTGGGCTGGCGTCAGAGGTCATACGATCGATTTTTGACCCTCTGACGTCAGACATTGATTAATCAACCAGCGTTGATAAGAACTCGCCGTAACAAACCCTTTCATTGGCTAATCCCTCACATTAACCAGAACGCGGCTTATATAACAACTCTTCCAGATCCTAGTGTTATGAAGACGAAATTTTGAACTATAAAAAACGGAACAAAATAGGATCTGTGTTTTAATCAGATTGCAATATATAATATTTTGAATGACGAAATTGGTACTGAACGAAAAAAAAGCTAACGAAAAGTCACTTTTCAGGTTAATTATGAACCAAGTGGTTTCTGTCCCCAAAAATACATTTTACCCCCCACCACCCATACAATGGGACTCTGATATATATATTTAGAGATGTGCAATGAAATTAAAAAGTAATGTTTTCATCAAGCTCTAAGAAAATCATCACCCCCCACCCTTCCACACACGCATACAGGCAACCCCCACCCCCACAAAACAAAACAGTTGTCCAGGAGCATCATATACACTTATTTAGAGGTGGACAGTCCTAGAAATTTACATATTATTAATATATAACATGATCATCATTTATGTCAACATAATGACATTTCCTATCAATTGTAGACATTGGACCCCCTTATCTCGAAAACGCCCCCCTCAAACGCCTGATCACTTTTTGCCCCCCCCCCCCCCCCATTAAATGGGAATTTATACTCATACTTAGAGATGTGCAGCGGAATTTTAAAAAGTAATGATTTTATCAAGCTCTAAGAAAATCATCATTTTAATCGACGTGAACTCATTTCCCGCCAATTTTACCCCCCCCCCCCCCTTACACACACGCACACCTGTAACCACCTATCCCACCTCGCCACAAATCAAAACAGTTGAACAGTGGCATCATAAACACTTAGTTAGAGATGGACAGTCCTAGTAATGTATGTTTTTTTAATATATAACATGATCATCATTTATGTGAACATTATCACATTTTCCCCCAATTATAGACATTTGACCCCCTATATCTCGAAAACGCCCCCTTAAACGCCTGATCACCACCCAGATTCGGAATCTACGCAAAAAACTGGTCTAGAAAAACTTGGTCTCATAAATTCACAGCTCGGGTGGCGACCCCCCCCCCCCCCTTCAGCCACCGGACTACATAATAACTTCTTTCTTATCTATGCCCACCTGCAGAAAATGGTTCCGCATATTAAGTAACTTTCAATGTCGGTATATCCGTTTGTTTCTCTTACTAGTGTCCTTTATTATGTCATTGCGCTTATATTTTGCTACGAAAGCAACAAGGTCACATTGACCGTGCATTTTGTTTTCTCTATCGGAATTGCACCGCTTTGTCAAAATTTCAATTATACCGACAAAGAGATATAGGACACGAAAGACAGTCGTGCGGGACGAACTAGTAAGTACATTTATTCTAGAGCTGATTGTAGCTTGGTAACTGCAAATATAGGCCCCCTTTTCACATTTTTAAAACTAAAGGATTTTAATGTACCTTATGGTAAAAACACAGATCCTATTTCGTTTCCTTTTTCAAATTTCGTTTTACTTGTCTTCACTACAGGGAGGTTGGATGGCCGAATGGTTAGCACGTGCGCGCTGTATCATAAGGTCTGTCATTGAATCAACTGGCGTGGTTTCAATTCCCCGGTTGTACGTGACAAGGAGTAACGTCGGCTGTCTAACCTTGTGGGCTTTTGTTAGTCCCGAAATGACTTAGTTTGTGTCGAATCGAGTGGACGTTAAATAAACCCCATTTCTCCTCCCCTGGCTGTCTTCACTACACTAGGATCTGGAAGAGTTGTTATATAAGCTGAGTTCTGGTTATCAAAGACAAAGAGAGAGAGAGAGAGAGAGAGAGAGAGAGATGGGCTTTAGTTCTACTCGATACAAACTAGGTCATTTCGGGACTAACATATGGTTTAATTAGATTTTATAATTCGCTTGCGCGTAGGGGGAAAGCGGAGGACCCGGAGAAAACCCACGAGGTTGGACAGGCGACCCTACTCCTTGTCACATACAACCGGGGATTCGAAACCAGACCAGTTGACTCAATGACAAGCCTTATGATACAGCCCGACCGTGCTAACCATTCAGCCCCCCCCCCCGCCCTATCAATGACAAATCTAAGAGGAATAATATTTATTGGCAATAGTGGTCACAGCCCAATAGTACATTTCAATATATTATTTCATTTATTAGTGTAGGCCATTGAAAGTATAAAAAAAACGAAACGAAATATGAAAGGAAATATTACAATATTTTCGAAACCTGATATGGATACCCTTTATGTTTATATGTATAAATGACCAGCCGAGCGAAGTGATGTGAAAGTAATTTTTGAAAATAGTTATTACATTTTAATTTATCCAAACATTGTCGGATTTACAAATTGGCCTCAAGATCCAGGGGGTTTCGAGACTAGGTGTATAATTTTTTTCACATTGTCATCCTCCTTGTCTTTTCTCAAACACACTTTCATTTTCCTTTAGTGGCGAGGGTGGAGGGATGGAAGGGGCCTCATAAGCTGGTGGCCTAGGGTATCTCTACATCACAATCAAGCACAGCCCCCATGTTTATAATCTCACTTTCAATCGTGGGAAAGTGTAATATTATGAGAACCCTAAAAGCTAAAAAATAAATAAAGAATAGCGATATTGCAAGTTTTTACGAACAATGATCGTTTGGGATGTTAATCCGAGAGACGTTCCTATTGTAGATGACATCAAGCACAGCCCCCATGTTTATAATCTCACTTTCAATCGTGGGAAAGTGTAATATTATGAGAACCCTAAAAGCTAAAAAATAAATAAAGAATAGCGATATTGCAAGTTTTTACGAACAATGATCGTTTGGGATGTTAATCCGAGAGACGTTCCTATTGTAGATGACATTCAAAAACAGACATTTCCAGAAGAAAAGCAGGGGCACACCGCTTTAATCTAATTTTAGTCTGTTCCTATGCGCCTTTTCAATCTGAAAAACAGAACGAATGTGACTGGACATCAGCCCACTGAAATTCAATGTCCGAATGCCAAACAGTTCGTACTATCTTATTTTACGTTTATTCTTTTTCCCCGTGAACCAAATTCTACAACCCTCTTTATACGTTATATCGTAATATAACCACACCAAGATTAAATTTACAAATATATAACATATTATGTTGGGGTGAAAATCACCACAGAATAAAATTTTGTAGCATATACTTTCCCCACACCTCACAAGATGATAAGATAAACTATTAATGTTCAAGTAAAATAAATAGAAAATGTTTCATAAATTTTTCATGGCCCAACTTTTCCAAACTTTACCATGTCTATAATTCTATAGTGATAGCTATAGCCCATGTATAAAGAGCATTCCCCCTACAAAATTTGCTCGTGTTGACTTTTGCTTTTATTTCGAAAGTTGTTCGTTTGTTATTATCATTTATTTGAAGCGCAAGATATTCTACTAATTTCAGCAATGTTATAGTTAAGCATTTTATGGTTTATTTATAGTTCTATAATTTGGAACTTCAAGCTAATAGAAAGTGTTAAAAGAATGTCATTATGTTGTTTCTGTTTGTAAATAATTTTGTTTCAGGACAACATGTCCTTTTTGTAAGTCAATCCAGTAACGTCTCACAATTAACATAAATTTGATGTTACGTTTGTCTGACAATTTGATGCTAGAGCCAGTCAGTACTCACGTGATGTAATTTTTAGAAATATATTTCTAGACAAATATTTCCAGCTTTCTTTTAAAAAAATGATACCATTATGTCAACCCTGTAACAATTGTGTCTTTACTGTAACATGTCATCATTCGTAACACTGCCAATGATAGCAAGCCCATATCTTCAGTTTTTCTACTTATTTTTATGGATTCATTGTTGCCTCTCTACAGAGCATGACGAAATAATTCTCAAAGTGACATACAGACCTAATTAAGAAAATAATGTATAATAATTCTTCTAAGAATAAACTAGATAACTAAACGAACCTTCTTTTTTTTAAAAAGTAGCCAAATTGAGGAAAACATCCTTCAGTATGCTTGAATGACCAATCATTAGAAATAATATGCTTTAAAAAAATGTTTTATGGAATATTCACATATTTTCAACAAAATTATTAATCGTTACGGGAAATTTCATATTTCCAACTGGTGACCGATAAAAGCTAACAAAACATTGTTGTAAATTTATTCAGAACTGACACTTTGAACTATACTTTATCAAATAAATATAAAAGATAAACCATTAACCATATTTAAAATTTGGTCGTGTGTTTTGCAGTTTCTACCAATTTTGATAATGAACCATATAACATACCTGATAATGATCGATCTGACTCTGATATTATTAATTATTTTCAGTTTCTCGGTTGGCAGATTTTAGGTCTTACAACGATAATTGCATGGACGGCAGGTTTATGCTTTATTATGTTTGGAATTTTAAAATTATTTGACAAACTTCGAGTATCTCCTGAGTTGGAAGAAAAGGGTAAGTATTAATTTAAATCACATCTTCCCCAACAACCGTTTAAGGAGACAAAATTTCATTGCCAAAAATATATTGGTAATTTTTTTTATGTAAATCGACCAATCTTAGTGGAAGTTGGGGCCATTAATTGTTTATATAAAGTTTTTTTTCCTGCCCCATCTTTATGCGTATGTCTGTATTTCTGTAATTATTTTTAAGGTCGCGCGGTTATCTAGACCTTTTGCCTTTATGTGTTAAAGTTTCTCATTTAACTGGTAAAAAATTAAAAATAGAATATATCCTCCAGGACATTAGCAACTCAGGTAATAAAAAGGCACAACCGTAAAAAAGAAAACCACCACAGGGTCGTCATATCAGGTGTACTTATATATACTATTCAAAAAAAGTAGGGGATATTTGATTTTGGGGGCATAATACTAAAATATGCAAATGACTACGAAAAAAGTCACTATAGAACCTAACAGAAGAAACATTTCCAGTTACATGTGACGCCCAAACGCACCAATAGCTACCGCATGGAATGCAGGTGATGCTTGGGATCATCATGGGGGTCCAACCCAAGATTTGCACGACTCTGACTTTGAATGTTACAGTCATTGTGGCATTGAATTCCAGGGTGGAAACATCGGTTTAATTGGCATGCTACAGATCGCCACAACACAGGCGGTTGTGGCGCGGACGATGAATGTTTCTCAGTCTGTCATAAGCAGGCTATGGTCCAGATACCGTGATACACAATCTGTACAGGACAGACCACGCTCAGGTCGACCAAGGGCGACAACTCAAGCCCAGGATCGATTTATCCGTACCTTGGCCTTGAGAAATCGTGTCATCACAGCAAATCAGATCAGCGCTCGTTTTCAAACAGACACTGGTGTGAGAGTGAGTGGCCAGACGATTCGGAATCGACTGCATAGGGGTCACCTTCGCGCCCGACGTCCTCGCGTGATCCCTTGTTTGAGAGATCATCACATTCAGGCAAGACGTCGTTGGTGTAGGGATCGTCAACACTGGGATAATCGACGCTGGAGCAATGTGATGTTTTCAGATGAGTCAAGGTTCACTGTTGATTTTTTGGACAGACGTAGGAGGGTGTGGCGTCGTCGAAACGAGCGCTTCCAAGACGTTAACGTCATCAGACATGATCGATTTGGGGGTGGTTCTGTTATGGTGTGGGGAGGCATCACTGTTGCTGGAAGAACGGCTTTACATGTTGTTGCAGGGCGTGTTACAGGCCAGTACTACCGGGACAACATCTTGGCAGTCCATGTTGTGCCGTTCGCACGACGTCATGGCCGCCGTTTCATCTTCCAGGATGACAACGCAAGATGTCACAGGGCCAGGATCGTTACAGGTTACCTCCAACAACAGAACATCACCACATTACCTTGGCCAGCACTGAGTCCCGACCTCTCCCCCATCGAGCATGTCTGGGACATGCTTGGACAGAGGTTACGTCCACGTCAACAACGTCCTGCCAATGTCCAAGAACTTGCTGCTGCGTTGCAACAGGAATGGGACAATCTGGACCAAAATGACCTTAGACGTCTCATTAGGAGTATGCCATGTCGGATCAATGCTTGTTTGGCAAACAGAGGAGGATTTACCCGTTACTGACTTGGTTGTGATGCTGTGGTAACTTTGCTGTTTGACCCCGGGTATCATTTTACCCTTATAATGGTCAGTCTGTGCCTTACTTAGTCTAACGATCATTTGGAATAAATCGATGAATGTGAACTTCATTTCATTTTGTCATTTGTTTCTTCGTCAGTTTCATTAGGTGACTTTAATAACACTTAAAAATCAAATATCCCCTACTTTTTTGGAATAGTATATCTTAAGCTGCATTTACACTGCATGCGCATTGAATGCGAATTCCGGAGACCGGCCTCCGGAATTCGGAGTGGTTTTTCCCGGTTTAAAAGAGGTGCGTCACATTACAGTTTATTCGCATTGAAATCAGAATGAAAAGCGCCACACTGAATGCACAGTGAAGGTCTCTCATATCCAAGATGGATGCGCCAGACATTCGTATTGGTGATCTTATATTGCTTATGTGTATTTTCCTGAGGCAAACAAGGCTAAATCAGTGACGTCGGGTCTTACATCTTCCACATCTTGGCATGCAGCGCCGGGCACGATTTCGTTGGCGCCAAAATCATATGCGAATGAGGATGATTACTCTTTTGGTAGCGTTTGCTATACATCACTCTTGACTCTGTACTAGCGAAGATACATTTCATAATTGAAATGTTATGAAATGGGGTTAAACTTCCTACTGTTCTGGCCCGACTGGTCTTATAAAGACGGACATAGACCATTTTCCCAGGACAGCGGCGCTACGGCCTACGCTTTTATTGAATTCCAACTATCACGGGATTTTTTACGTCCACGTCAATGTGTATACGGGAACTCTGTCTTTCGTCCCACCCGAACTACTAGACAGCTGCCCTTGCCTGGCCCTCCGCCCTGCAACACTGACATGGGGAAACCACGAGAGAAAATCACGATGAACGATTTCGGTCAACACCGGGAGCGAACCCTCGACCACCAGACTAGGGATTCAGCTTCTTACTCACTGAACCATCGTGGCCCCCATTTTATAATGCAAGCCCTTTCAGCACTAAACATACATAATGTAAAGCAATGCATTTTGTTGTTATTTGAATCCAGCTATATGCAATAAATGCTAGAGACTAGACTTCAGTAGACTCGAGACGACTAAAGCTTACCTGTCCTGCCCCCAAGGTCTAGACCGTGAGTGGTCAGCTGTGATCTGAACACGCCTATCTTTGTATTTGGATTTTTATATGCCCACATTGAAATGTGGTCGTATATAATAATTGTCGTCGCCCCCGTCCGACGTGCTAGAGGCTAATGTTAATATCGGATTGACTTTAAATTTATGCACAGTGTTTAAGATCATGGATGAAGAAGCTAATTGAATTTGAACGATTTACCATAATTACTGAGTTATAGCCCATGATATTTATGGTCATGGATGAAGAAACCAATTGATTTTGAACGATTTATGATAATTACTGCCCGAGTTATGGCCCATGATATTAAATGTTAGTATAGGACAGAACTCGTAATCAGAATTTAGTGTGTTGTACATGTTTGCATTACTGACAAAAAGAAAAGTATGCCACAACCCTTGTTGACTGCTCGGAAGACTTAGCTGCCGAGGGCGTATGTTTCGTTGCCTGACAACCTATCGATAGCGGGTTATTTTACCGCAGTATTTGTTTCAGTGACGAAGGGCTACAGCTATGTAGGTTACACCCCAACATGCGCGCAAAGTTATTGTTTCCGGTAAAACTGTTGATCTGAATCAAGCGTGTCACACCCAAATCTTGACTGCGAATAACCCGATTCGGAAAAATATACGGATTCGTTAATTCAGATTCAGTTCGGTTTTTATCGAATTGAGTGTTACGCCAAAGTCCGCAATAAGACTTTATTCTGAATTCAATTCAGATTAAACCCCGAGTGTGAACGCAGCTTTTAAGTTCATAGTTGTTTCTTTAATGGCTTGTTTTGTTGAGGCAATGTAGATTCTCTGTGAATGAATCTGTACAAAAAGGGAGACAATTACAGTCTGTCCTACAAGGTTGCAGACCACCATTGAATTTATCATTGACTTAAAAGGTGAAATAGTTTGTTGTTTTTACCGAAAAACACACAGGGCAAAGCCATGCCCATGTGCTTGCACGGGGCTCACCATAGACAGTTTGAGACACATAAACTGAATGTAGCATAAAAGCTCAAATGTAACTATGTATTCACCGAAGTAATTTACATACCAAATTAATCTTTAACAGCTGGGAGGATGACTATATACTGATGGGTTGTAGCTTACATACGATTCAGCATATCCCGCTGCTGACAGCACAAATTATAGCCAAATGTAGCTCCAAGCAATAACTAACGATACCAATGAAATGTATATTCAGGAATGGCATATTTTGAAATAATTACTTCCCGATATTTTGGGGAACGGATGGACGCCTCCTTCTTCTATTAGCGTCTAACGTTCGCTTCCACCGATGGTGATATCGCAGACAGACAAATTGTCTTATTTTATTACGCTTAGCGTATGCGCATGGTTGTAAGGAAACCGGAGTACCCGGAGTAAACCTACGAGATAGGGAAAAGGCACCAAGGGATCGAAACCACGACCGCAAGTCAGAGGTGACCCTCCAGCTAGAGCTCGAAGCGCGACACTCTTTTTATCTCTTGAGAAAATTTTATTCGGGTGCTAATACAACATAAATATACAGTACATCCGATTACATGTTAAAAAACATTCACACGTCAAATATGCAGATGCACGCTATATTACATTAACAATCACTCTCCAGGCGCGCACAGTTAAAATATATAAAAATATAGTACTATTAACAACATAAAGATATTTACAATATAAACACAGCGTGACACTCTAGACCATCCCAACCGCCCGTGTCCTTTCAATCCCCCCGTTGATACCATAATTCTGTCATTTTTATACAAACGTGTTAATTACGCGTTTCGGACCTTCCGTCGAAACACGTATTGTTTCTGTAAGGGTTTTTATTAATTTTTTTTGTGGAATTTAGTCAGTTTGTGCAGGCAAAACTGTACATGGTGCAAACATTCTGCCAATTAGATATAAATTGGGTCATTTTTGACGAACAGGAAGTGTTTTACGGATGGGACAAAAAAATAATCTCAGTTTGCCCATATCTCGGGTTTTCATTTTGGGATTCTTTGAACGAATCCAATATGGACTTTCGCTCGATTAATATTAGCATCAAAGATTTGCGAAATTATTCTTCATCACTTTTTCGACATTCAAGATGGCATATGTCCGTCACTATTTGAGGTATCAAGTTGAAACTTGGTAGGAGTAAGGAACACACCGATGCCTTCAAAATGACGTATTAAAAGAATGTGCGATGGCCCCAGCAAACTTCCGATTTTTCCCAAACATGAATAGTTCTCCCAATTTTAAAAATAGACTCAAAATGACATATGATGGTGTTAGCCCCAGATATTATCTTTCATTTTCAAAGACCTTGTTCCATAACAGTTTCAACCGCTTGGCCGCCATATTGGATTTTACAAAAATCGATATTCAGCCGCCATGTTAATTCTTATTTTCGAAAACTTTTTTTTGTATTGATCCTACTTCAAATGATAACAATTCTTATGGAGCCGATTTTTGAATTTCGATTTTGTTTACTTTCTGTTTCACTTTGAAGTTTGTTCGACTTTTCACCATCTAGATGGTGACCTAATCTTTCCATGACCCTTGACCTTTGTATGTATGATGACCCTGATGTCTACTAACAATTAATATAAAAAAGTTCGGTCATGAAGTATAACTTCCGGTTTTATTAAGAGTTCAAAATGACAGGCTTTTTCACTTTATTAGGTATTGGATGTTACTATACTCAACAATTTATGGTGTAACTTGAATGTTGATGTGACAAGACGTGACGTGACATACTGAAACACGTCAGTAGTCCTTAGGAGTTCCAGTTAATAATGTTATAGTTACCTGGACAGCAGCGTTTCCACCTAGACTTTTTCATTTTCCAACTGTCAAGGATGTGTACATGAATAGACCTCAATTATTCGCCATTTTCCAACGACAAGACATTTTCCTTGTCAGGGTAGCAGCCTGGTGTGAAGGCGAACATTGGAATATCTCGAAGGATCTTCTAGGACTACTGCGGTCCCCACTAAAAAGGACACAACCCTTAACCATTCATAGTTTTACTGTTATTACAGGCCCTTGTCCAACGACAAGACATTTTCCTTGTCAGGGTAGCAGCCTGGTGTGAAGGCGAACATTGGAATATCTCGAAGGATCTTCTAGGACTACTGCGGTCCCCACTAAAAAGGACACAACCCTTAAACATTCATATTTTTACTGTTATTACAGGTCTTGACATACCTAAGCATGGCGAAAATGCTTACCCCACTGAAGCCTATGGTCATGGTTGGGACCAAAAACTTGAAGAAATATTGCAAGAGATCGAGTCGATCAAAGGTTTGTACATGTATATTATTTTGCATTTAAAAATAAAATGCCAAAGTAGACGTTTTTGGCGTCTGGATTTCGGCAAGTACTGCATTGGCATTTAATCTACTTCATAGATTTTACCAATACAATCAATCAATGGTTTAGAACGAAACGCCACTATATACTCCTCCCCATCATTGCATACGTAACCATAGTAAATTAAAATAACCCAATAATCGTACAACGATTGTGCCGATCTGACGTTAAACCGCATTCCAAATTATGAAAGTATTTAATTGAAAAGATACGTGGAATGGCAATAATGCATTTATAAAACGAATGAACTCCAATGACGATAAGGGGGTTTGGTGGCCGAGACGTTTAACGTGTGCGCTTTAAGTCATAAGACCTGTCTTTGAATCAAGGAGTGTGGTTTCGATTGCCGGTTTGTACGTGACAAGGGCTAGGGTCGCCTGTTCAACCTCGTGGGTTTTCTCCTGGGCCTCCTTCTGCTAATGAAGATACGCCGATCAGTGTTCGAACGCATAACACAAAACAAACAACGAGCATGGATAATTTAAAGTAGCTAAGTCTCTAACTCAATATATCCAAATTATCCGACATTGAAAATACGAATTATTTGTCAATTTAAACCAACATTGATGTTGTGATCTTACCGGGAAAAGATGGGCTTCTGATATCCAATATTTAAGGGAAAAAAATCGTGTACCATAATGCGTTTCAGCGCCATTTGTAACATGGGACTCGAAGAACGAGGCTAAACATATAATCCACATGTCATGTCAAACGCTGACGCCACATTCTTGTCTGGAGAGCATGCACAATAAATACAAGCGGTGTAGACTGGAATAACCAGTCACTAGAGATTGCCATTCGATTGAGACTTCTGGGGTATTTCGCCGGACATAACGGATTTGAAATTAGAGTAAAAATGGAAACGACTAAATATAAATTAGTTTATGTACATTCATATTACATTATTATATGCGTTGCGTCACATTTGTGTCAATTTCTAGGTCCCATATATTAGCGATTTAGCTCCTTTAAGTATTTGTTACATAAAAATCCCCAGCAGCGTCACGGGTGTTTATTTAATACGATTATTATATCTTATCAATTTTAGGTGACGATCTAAAAGGAAGTTTAACAAAAAGAATCGGACAACATATAAAGAAATCAAAACAAGGCTCGACGCCATCCAGTGATTTTTCTGAAGTTAATCTGCATTGGTAGGGATATTTGCAAAGACAGGGATTTATTATCAAATATATTAAACATTCCAGATTAAAAAGCAAATACAGAATTTCTTTCTATATTCACGATAAGAAGTATTCTTACCAAAACGCACATTGATCCACGGTATTAAAATCGATAAATTATGCCCATCTAACTTTCACTACTTTCTCTCCACATCAGCCCGCCATATAAAGTTGTTTTAGGAAAGAAAACTAGGTTTTTGCGAGTACTTTCCGCTTTATTAAGCTTCTTCAGGCAATACCAACAATTGATGTGACGTAATAACGTCATGTTTACAACAATGAACTATAATGGATATGCGCAATAAAATAATATGGTATCATTAACAAAATTATTAATTAAACATTTATAATTAAAACATTTTTTAAAACTAAAATTTACACAACTCCAGTGTTGATATAACAAAAATCAACACCTTGAATTAAGCAATGGTTTGAATTTTTCAATAAAATATGGTTCCTTTGCTTCTAATAGGTCGTTGTTTTTGCTGTTTAATTGATATAACGGAAAGACATTAAAACTGAATTTGCCACAAACATCGAGGTGTCGGCTCAGGGGTATCATCCTGTATAGCGGTTTTTAAGAACAATATGTTGTCGATGGAGGTTCATTCTTAATCTAAGCATATTTATGGTCTTTCTGACCCTTACAGCCTGGACAAATTATAACATATAAATGCAATCGGATTTACAAGTCATGGGTTGTTTTACATGAAATGTAAAATTGTCCGTGATATTTATTGATGAGATGAGCCTTCAATTATGATTGAACACATTTTACATTTAGATTCATTACACTTGTTAACTGTGGGTATGATTTTAGTTGATTCGTATTTTGATCAGATTGGTAATTTAGCCAGGCGTTGAAGTTGCTTTAAACTATTTATTATTTTTGTCTTATTTAATATATCTTCCATAATCGGGCTATTTTTGAGAATATGGAGATTATTATTAATTATAGATTTACCATCTTAAAGTAGTTACTAAAGCAACTTCCTCACGACCCTTTGTTTCACATATCGTTTTTGGACACCTTAATTTGCTCTGATCTAAACTTAAAGCTTTTTGAATGGCATAATCTACTAGTTTTGCTTGGTAGTGTTGCTTTTTTTTTTTTAGAAAACCTTTAAGCTCATTAAGGCGTATTTGTTTGCTATCTGATTGTGAAGCTATCGTGCACACACCTCTGGCTAAGTTATACGGAATATTACGTTTCGTATGAGAAGGGTGGCATGAATTAAAATTGAGATGCTGATGTGTGTCTGTCGGTTTATAATACATATCAGTTTCAATTTGACCATTCAGTAAAAGACTATTCAAGAGTTTGTGGAGTTTGGTTAAAGTTGCGTATGTCGGACCAAATTTTTGTACCCATAGCAACTCCTTTAATTTGTGAGAAATAATGGGTATCGAAGAAAAATAAGTTATTTGAAATTACTAAATTTAGAGCACCAATTATGAATCGTTTAGAAAAACGATCTGGGATACTATCGGGGTATGTACCTATCCAATATTCGATTGCTTTTATTCCCAGATCTTTATTGATGTTATTATATAGATTCACTACATCCAAGGCTAATTAATGTACTACCAGGTTCTACCTGCTTAGGTAAATGATGTAGGAAACATAGTGGTTTCAGAATGATATCAATGAAGTTGCTAAGTCTTTGTGTACTACTATTTGGTCCGCCTACTATTGAACTGAACGTTAGGTCACCTGGACATTTTATATTTACAACTTCATGATTAGTTCGTCTTACAACATCTTGAATTAGCTTACTTTTGTGTACTTTCGGCAATCCATAAAAGTATGCAATGCTTGGATCGAAGTTCACAAGATATTCCTGTTCCTCCTTTAACAGCATTTCGGTGTAGCCAGACACAACTGTTCTCACATTCACTGTGACGTTGTTGTTTTCTTTGATGGTTGAGAGCGCATTCCTGTGTTTTGGATATATTATCTTGATAGAATGACTTATCAATAACGACTATAGCTCCTCCTTTATCTGCTTGTTTGATAATTATGTTTTGATTATTTTCAATTCACCTTTATTTAGATTTTTTATGGTGGGTTTTGATTGAATTTTATGAGTTGCTATAGTTGTTATGAATTGTTATGAAAGTAAATTTGTTTCGAGCCAGGCTTTTGGGTTCTGGGGGTCGAAAATCATCCTCTCTGTAGAAATGATGTCTGGGGCGCTGTTTTCTACAAAACTGTGTCAGTTCAGACTGGAGTAAACAACTATCATTTGAGGGTGTTGGGGTAAATTTTAGTCCCTTATCAAATAACAGAATATCATTCCTACAGAGTTCAATGCCATTGGTATTTATCACTATTGGATCTATTGTTTCGGGTTCTTTTTTCCATCGGCCCCGATATCTGGACTAGCCCCGGCCTAAAAAACTGTTTTCTTCATTTGTTCGGATAGGTTTGTTTGAAGGTTCTGATTCGATTTTCCGATTTCGTCTTCTAGGTGGGACTTGGTGCCTCATTGGTGCGTTGGTTTGGGCCGACGAATGTTTACGCGTTTGAGTTTGGTTACTAATAACGTTAGGCCCTCTCGGGTTTCTTAGTCTAGATTTGAGCGGTTTGGGTTTTAAGTTAAAGGTGAACGATGACAAAAATTAATTAGCAAAGATATGTAATAAAATAAAACAAAAGTCAAAATCATGAAAATTGAATTTGACAAATTACAGATTTGAATAGAAGTCTAATGCTGAAACCAATAACGGGCCTAGCGTAAATAAGACACTATTAAATTTCAGTGTTGACAAAAATTCGCTTTTTACGTTTCTTATGAGCCTGTGAATGAAATCCGTCTGAAATGTTCATACCATGGGGCGCCAATGTATTTAACTTCCAAACCCATTCTTTTTCCTTTCGGTTCATGGCCTCCTCTAACAATTTCTGTCCGTTGTGTTTGTTAAGGTAATAGTCCGGGTCTAGTTTCTCTACGATCTGGAAGTCAAATCCGTTGGGTGAGTGAGATGACAGATGTCTGTTTAATGCCACACAGTCTTCGTCCTTCGTGAGTTTCCCTTTGTTGTTTTCACGTAGGTCATGTTTGTGTCCATTCATACGCAATCGTAGCGAGTTTGTCTGTCCCACGTATTGTGTGGAACAAACTGGGCAGACTATAACGTAAATGAGCCATTTCGAGTCACAGTTGATGGCGGAATTTTTACATCGATGCATTTTCCCAGTAGTAGAACTTTTGATCTCGTAATCCGTTTTGAACATGGTGCATTATTGGCAAGGCTTCGTTTTCCCTTTGAGACACGGCCGACAAGGCTCAAACGAGGCGTTATCGGAGGTATTTCTGAATTTCGCTCTGGTGAGTATCCGTTGTAGATTGGTAGGTTGAGAAAAACTGATGACCGGCGTGTTTGGAACGGCTTTCGTCATCTTGTCTGAAAGGTGTAGAAGTGGTAAGTAGTGGGTGAGTATACCTTTAATATCTGGAAGTCCTGGGTGGTACTCGACCGTTAGATATACATTCTTGACTTTCGACTTGGGATCACTGTCCTCACTTGATAAGGGTGGATGCAGGTAATTGTCGAAGGCTTTACGAATTTGTGCCTTAGTTTTTTTGAGACTGTAGCCACGTTGTACAAGGTACCCCGCTAGTTCTTTACAGCGTAAACGGGCAACATCCAGTTCTGAACAAATTCTGATAATTCGAATAGCCTGACTATAGGCTATACTCCGCTTGATATGATACGGATGACAACTATTGTTCAAGAGGTATTGGTGCGTGTCGGTAGGCTTCGTATATAGACCAGTAGAAATGTTACCTTTATCATCGACAGAGATCGAAACATCGAGGAAATTCACCTTAGTTTTCGAATATTCAAACGTGAACGTGATAAAAGGATGGAGAGTGTTAATAAAGTTCAAGAATTCAACGAGTTTCTCTTCACCGGCAGTCCACACTGAAAATATATCGTCAAGCCATACGTCTGGCGTGTAACGACACTGACAGTAAATTTCGTTCCAACACATGCATAAAGATATTTGCGAAACTAGGAGCGCACTTGGTACCGATTGCAGTCCCTGCTTTCTGTAAGTAGTACTCCGAATTAAATTCGAACACATTCTGAGTGAGGACTAGTTCCGCCATCTTGCATATTCCATTGCCTGTCTCTGCGGGAAGGTGGTGCTCCGTGAGGACAGTCTTCAATGCTCGCAGACCATCTGCATGTGGAATGCTGGGATACATTGCTACGACGTCAATCGTAACCAAAAGCGTATATATATATATATATATATATATATATATATATTTATAATTTATATATGGAAGATGCTAATAAGCCTTCTGGCACATTGCGGTTTTATTTAGGTTGTATCATTAAATAAAATAAATTAGATCCACTTGTAAATAGAAATAATTTGGCGATCGATCCTGTCTATACCATGGCCACTGAGACATCGTCCGTTTGAGTGCAGACACGTCTAATTTACCACCAGATCTGTTTTTCGAACACCAATGCCAAGGGTTCCGTTACATGTATGCCAATTTTAACATTGGTGGACCCCAGAGAAATCAGAAGGACCAGGACTACTTTTATTGCAAGTTCCGCGAGCGTTTACCCGGAGAGTGGTTTCGAAACCAGGATTCATGCCGCAGATATTGGAATAAAATTCAACGAAATAAAACGCTATTACTTCCCTTCAACTACACCTCACAATAAAGTTAATCGAGATTACATTTGCGCTAGATACTGTTACGTTCGTTCATTGGTGGGTTTTTACGTCCTCTTTCAACTTAGGTAATATCGCAGACATATTTTTACTAAGAAACCTGCTAGTAAAAGACAAAAAGTAGGCTTAGACCAGCTTTGGGTGGAGACATGAGATTGAATAGAAGGCCCATTCGATCTCGTTTCCAGGATAAAGACACACTGTTTTAGATACTATTATCATTCGGAGGATAGATATAGTGCCAGTAATTAGTACTTACATGATCACGCCTTCATTGTCCTCTACTTCAGTTGAATTCATTAGCTAATAACCTGAACAGAAATAAATGAAACGGACTAATGAAGACGGACATACGCCATGCAGATTGCTTTGGGTGAAACTTTGCCCGGACAGCGGCGTTTTCGCTTGCCCTTCGTCAACATCCATCTACCAAAGGTGATTTTACGTGCACGAGACCTAAACAGAGATGTTTTAACATAAATATGTAAGACACGTTTCAGGACCGGCGGAAGCAATTCTTGATTGGAGGGGGGAGGGCTATCATCCTAGGTCTTTAGGCGAGGGTTCAAGGGCCGCTCAGACCCCGGAAGCTCTTGAGTGTTTAGATCGTCGAAGACGCTTTCTGGGCGACTTCTGGCAATGATGTGAAATTTTATTTCCTTTTTTCTAAC